CTGCAAGATTTCAGAGCATTCGGTTTTGTAGTTCCTGATTAAATCAATAAAATATATTTACGCATTCATTAATTTTTTTGAGTCACCCTGTATATGCAAATCCAAAAAATATGAATGGAGTGATAGATCACAAGTACAGACTCATCATATTTTGTACATTTTAGATATGATTTATTCCACGAACTTTTAAGCTGACGTCATCAAGTTTTTGGAGGGGATAAGTAAATATTTTTTGACTAAAGATTTATGATGCTCTTTATAGCCTTAAAACATCTGCAACATTTCAAAGCATTCTGGTTAGCAGATTAAAAATTAAATTTCAAAATATTGTTTTATAATTTTGATTTTTTTTCCAAAAATCTGGACGTTTCGGGTGAAAAGTCGATTCAGAGTTGTAAACTACATGTGTAGGACTATGTTATTTTATACAATTGAAAACCCATTTACTATGTACAATTTTGAAGTGACGTCATCGCATTAGTGGTGGGGATGATTAGACAAATTTTGGTTAGCGTTTTACCATCTACATGATATTCTTAATATAAGTACAAAATTTCACAACAATCGGTCGAGTACTTTCGGAGATTATCTGTCTAATAAAAATCCGGGACAACAGACGGACAGACGGACAGACGGACGGACAGACGGACAGACGGACAGACGGACGGACAGACGGACAGACGGACAGACGGACAGACGGACAGACGGACAGACAGACGGAAATGGGAGACCTATTTCTTCGTCTTCTAGGGGTCATGAAAGATCGAGAAAACGTAAAAGTAGAGAGTCGACCGACGGACTCGATTACAATACTTCCTTTGCTTACGCTCGGGAAGTAAAAAGTGGCAAAAGAAAAGCAAATATGTATAAAAAGAAAAAAAATGTTAAAAAACATTGAAAAGCTCATGGTTCTGCTTGTTTTGCTTATTTTTTGTTGTGGGAAGTCCAAAAAAGGATACAAAAAAACCAAAAGAAAGGTGACAAAGAAAAAGCCGACAAATGAAAAACGACGAATCAAGAGGTAACAAACAAATCCGAGAAAAAAGGTGGCAAAAAACGCCAAAAAAGAGGCGACAAAAAAGCGACAAAAATGGAACAAAAGATAAAAAAGCGATAAAAAAGATGATTAAAAAAAAGGTCCACAAAAAATTCAAATAAAAAGAAAAAAAAGCGAAAAAAAACGACGTTAGAAAAACGAAAAAAAAAGAGCTGACAAAAGAAAAACAATAACAAAATTCAAAATAAAAATGCAAAAGTCCGTAAAAAGAGGACGAAAAAACCCACAAAAAATCAAAAAAGTTAATAAAAAAAAAGTGAAGAAAAAAACAACCAAAGACGTAAAAAAGGGATGGTAAAAATTCACAAAAATGCGAAAAAAAACGACAAAAAAAGTGGAGAAAATCGCGAAAAAGGACAGTAAGAAAAAAAACAAAAATACGAGAAAAAGAACACAAAAAAGGCGGTGAAAAATCCACAAAACAAATGGTGAAGAACTAGGAGAAAAAATGCGATGAAAGGAGTACAACAAGAAATTCTGTTTAAAAAAATGTTAAAACAAAAGTGAAAAATACGACAAAAATATAACAAAATCCGATCTTTTCCTATATTTCTGCGTTCTTTCGCTAATTTTTTGTTGTTGGATTGCAAAAAAAAATCCACAAAAAATGACGACAAAGGAAACGTGATAAAAACAACGAAGCAAAACTCGGCAAGTGAAAGACGAAAAAGAAGGGACAAAAAAATCACCAAAAGGTGCGAAAAAACTTAACACAAAAAATGGCAAACACGAGAAAAAAAGTCGCAGAACAACAAAAATAGATTTTGACAGTTGCTGTCACACATTTTGACAAAATAGTTAAAATGACAGCAAGGTGTAGCAACCCTAAATCTGACAAAGTGACATGGGGATATTTCTTTCATACCAACGTAAACCCCAACTTATCAAAGCCAGCCGCGATGCAGATTCGTCTGAAATCCTATACGACCAACAACAGCAAAACGACGATAAAAAACGCCACAAAACGACAAAACAAAGACAACAATGAAGTTCAGGAAACTACGACAAAAAGCTTATAAAAACACGACAAAAAAGTCTACAAAAAATGCGGAGAAAAGCGGAAAAATACGAGAACTCCAACATGGTTTAAACCCCAACTTATCAAAGCCAGCCGCGATGCAGATTCGTCTGAAATCCTATACGACCAACAGCAAAAAGACGATAAAAAACGCCACAAAAACGACAAAACAAAGACAACAATGAAGTTTAGGAAACTACGACAAACAGCTTTTAAAAACACGACAAAAAGTCTACAAAAAAATGCGGAGAAAAGCGGAAAAATACTAAAACTCCAACATGGTTTGACTTTTTGCTATCTTTGTGGGATTTCTTCGCTAATTTTTAGTTTTCATATACTTTAGTGTAGCTGTAGAATAGATCCATACTCTTAATCATTACTGAACTTAAAAATAAATTGAACTTTGGATAGTTGGAGCTGGATACACTTGATATCCCAGTTTAAAGAAAACTTGTCAACGCAGTCCTCGGTAGTATAGTGGTCAGTATCCCCGCCTGTCACGCGGGAGACCGGGGTTCGATTCCCCGCCGGGGAGGCTTTTTTTTCTTTTTTTTTTTTGTTTAATAAATTAACTTCGTATTTGATATCAATTCCCAAACACTACTGAACTAATCCTGTCATTTTACGACGACACGAAGCTTAATTTTTGCCAACACCAAAAAAAAAAATTGGTCTAAAGAGTTTAGACAGTACTTCCCTCGCTGTCGGAAACTTGACGACTGCATGCCTATTGTGTTTTTTTTCTCATTACATTTTTGTAGTGGGAATTTAAAAAAAATTGCGATGACGTCATCAACATTTTTGCAAGGACACGTATATCAGTTGGGATAGATGTAGTGTAATACTAAGAATAAAATTATTATATTCTCAAATTTTCGGGAAAATGAATTGGGTCGTTTGAATATTGATTTGTAATAATCAATAAAATAACGAAACAATTTACTCACGTATACCTACGTATCAGAGGCAACTGAAAATCGTGTATGTATAAACATTGTTAATTTAAGATGACAGGCGTAACAGCATACGTGAGAGCCAAACACAGAAACTGTAAACAAAACGACCGTCGGTTTTATTGCTTCGACTTCCGCTTATTATATAAAACATTGGGTTTTATTTTAATTCTTGACGGTGAAATTCACAATTGGTTGATTATAAACATGTCTATTTCACATTCGCGGAATCAAGTGAACGCATAAAACAAATGCAGGTCTGTAATGTTAAAGTCGATGTAAATAAGCGTGCTACCCTTATGTTTCAACCGAGTTTTTCCTTTAACAAATTTTGTGTCTACCAAATTGGGTTGGTTGGGGTGTAATACTAATAATAAGTGTTGCCTTTAATTTAATCAATAAAATAAATTGACTTCATTAATTCTTTTGAACCACCTCTTAAGAAAATCTAAAAAATATGAATGGAATGATAAATCACAAGTACAAACTCATCATATTTTTTGCATTTTAGATAGGATTTATTCAGCAAAATTTAAGGGTGACGTCATCAATTTTTTTAGGAGGGATGAACAAATACATTTTGAACAAAAGTTTACCATGCTTATAATAACTTTAAAATATTCCCAAGATTTCAAAGCATTCGGTTTTGTAATTCCTGATTAAATCGATAAAATAAATTCACGCCTTCATTAATTTTTTTGAGTCACCCTGCATATGCAAATCCAAAAATATGAATGGAATGATAAATCACAAGTACAGACTCATCATATTTTGTACATTTTAGATACGATTTATTCGGAAAACTTTTGAGCTGACGTCATCAGTTTTTTGTAGAAGATAACCAAATATATTTTGACTAAAAATTTATTATGCTCTTTATAACCTTAAAACATCTGCAAGATTTCAAAGCATTCGGTTTTGTAGTTCCTGATTAAATCAATAAAATAAATTTACGCATTCATTAATTTTTTTGAGTCACTCTGTATATGCAAATCCAAAAAATATGAATGGAGTGATAAATGACAAGTACAGGCTCATCATATTTTGTACATTTTAGATATGATTTATTCGGCAAACTTTCGAGCTGACGTCATCAAGTTTTTGGAGGGGATAAGCAAATATATTTTGACTAAACATTTATTATGCTCTTTATGACCTTAAAACATCTGCAAGATTTCAGAGAATTCGGTTTTGTAGTTCCTGATTAAATCAATAAAATATATTTACGCATTCATTAATTTTTTTGAGTCACCCTGTATATGCAAATCCAAAAAATATTAATGGAGTGATAGTTCACAAGTACAGACTCATCATATTTTGTACATTTTAGATATGATTTATTCCACAAACTTTTGAGCTGACGTCATCAAGTTTTTGGAGGGGATAAGCAAATATTTTTTGACTAAAGATTTATGATGCTCTTTATAGCCTTAAAACATCTGCAACATTTCAAAGCATTCTGGTTAGCAGATTAAAAATTAAATTTCAAAATGTTGTTTTATAATTTTGATTTTTTTTCCAAAAATCTGGACGTTTCGGGTGAAAAGTCGATTCAGAGTTGTAAACTACATGTGTAGGACTATGTTATTTTATACAATTGAAAACCCATTTACTATGTACAATTTTGAAGTGACGTCATCGCTTTAGTGGTGGGGATGATTCGACAAATTTTGGTTAGCGTTTTACCATCTACATGATATTCTTAATATAAGTACAAAATTTCACAACAATCGGTCGAGTACTTTCGGAGATTATCTGTCTAATAAAAATCCGTGACAACAGACGGACAGACGGACAGACGGACAGACGGACGGACAGACGGACAGACGGACAGACAGACGGAAATGGGAGACCTATTTCTTCGTCTTCTAGGGGTCATGAAAGATCGAGAAAACGTAAAAGTAGAGAGTCGGCCGACGGACTCGATTACAATACTTCCTTTGCTTACGCTCGGGAAATAAAAACACTCATAAACAAAATTTTCATTTTATTATAAAAGTAACGGGTAGACAATAAAAACATTAACAAATATTAGGTACACACTTCAACACTTATCTATATAATAGACAATAAAAAATCTTAATTACTCTTAGCTTACGACTTAACGCTACATTTCATAGAAAACTCCTAACATGATAAATGGCACTCCGTTATTATCAGTATAATTTCATTCACATTCACACCTTTCGCACACTCGCTCCATCAAAAATGACAAGGAATGACTCAGTTCGTGACTCGACTTAACTAAACTAAAACAACGTCAGTGAGATAAATCTTACGCTCGCCAACCCCAGCTCGCAGGCGGCCGCCCCCTAATAACAATCCATACTGTTAACGTCCTCGTCGTACGTCTTCAGCATGTCGTCCAACAGCGACCCCAAATCCTCGATCCCGTTCAGCCACTTCTTCTTCTCCGCGATGATGTTGTTCAGGTCCTGGTGCGTGAACTGCAGAAACTCCGTCGGCGTCACGATCTTCCGCACCTGGAAGTCGTAGTTGCTCACCGAGCCGTAGTCGCTCGGCGCGTACACCCCCTTCAGCAAGCTCGCGTCCTTCGCGTTCACGATCTGCTCGATGATCTCCTCGTTCAAATCCGGCTGACTCGACCGCGGCGAGTCCATCGACTCGTCCACCGAGATCCCCGAGCTCATCGACATGCCGCTCTCCGTCGGGATCGGGCTCGTCGGGCCGCTGCACTCCCCGCCCACCGCGTACTTCTTCAGCAGGTCCACCAGCTTCTGCGTGATCTTGACCGCCGTCTTCGACACCTCCATATCACAGTCGTCTTTGATGGCGGCCGTCAGCACGCCGAGGCAGCCGATGGCGCTGAGCTGGCCGAGGACCTTGAGCAAGCGCTTGCGGATCTCCGAGTCGGTGAGGGTGACGATCTTCCGGTGCTCCTTCGAGAACGTCACGTTCGGGAAGCTGCCGTCGATCATGCCCTGGTTCTGGAGGTGGTTCTTGATCACCTTGTCCCAGAAGTTGAGGGCGCGTACTTTGACTTCCCAGTGGAGGTCGGTCGTCGACGAGTAGATCATGGTCTCGTAGATGGCGTCGAGGCTGTCCTTCGGGAACTGCTGGTGCTCGTAGGCGACGCACATGAACGTCGCCGCCTCCACGCGGACGATGCCCTCGGTCTCGTTCAGCAGGATGTCGCGCATTTTTTGCTGTAAAAGATAAGGTCAGTGAAACATTTTCGAGAACACTCCCCGCCCCAAGTCTCCCATTCTCTCTCTCTCTCTCTCTCGCGCCCCCCTTTCCCCAAATCGCTTTCCCAGGTCTCTCTTTTTATATTTTTCTCCAGGCCTACCTTTCCCGATTCTTTTTTTCCGCCAAGTTTCTTTTCTCGCTCTTTTTATAGATCCCAATCTCTTTCCCCAGGTCTTTTTCTCTGTTTTTCTACAGGTTTCTCTTTTTCTTCAAATCTATCTTTGCCTATCTCTCCCTCTTTCCTTAAATCGTTCTCTTTCCCCAGTCTCTCTTTATATCTTCCTTTTTAAGTAAGTCGCTCTCTCATGTTCTCTTTCCCCAGGTTACTCTCTCTCTTTCCCCAAGTTTCTCTCTTTCCTCAAGTTTCCATCTTTCCCCAAGTGGTTTTATGTCAGGCTTTCATTCGCCAGGTTCTTTTCCTTGTTTCTCACGTTTTTCTCTCTCTCTCTATTTCCTCTGAGTCTCTCTCTCTATTTCCCCCGAGTCTCTCCCTCCATTTCCCCCGAGTCTCTCTATTTCCCCCGAGTCTCTCTCTCTCTCTCTAATTGTCTCGAGTCTCTCTCTCTATTTCCTCTGAGTCTCTCTCTCTATTTCCCCCAGGTCTCTTTATTTCCCCCAAATCTCTCTCAATAGAAAAAAAATCCCAAAAGTCTCTCCCTGTACTTTCCCAAGTTTCTCTCTTTCCCCAAATCTCTCTCTCTGTGTGTTTCCCCCAAGTTTCTCTATCTTCCCCAGGTCTCTCTCTATTTTCCCCAAATCTCTCTCTCTATTTCCTAAGTTTCTCTCGCTCTATTTCCCCCAATTCTCTCTCTATTTTCCCCAAGTCTCTTTCCCTATTTTCTCCAAGTCTCCCTCTCTCTCTATTTTCCCCAAGTCTCGCTCTTTATTTCCCCGAAGTCTCCCTCTATTTCCCCCAAGTCTATCTATACTTCCCCAAGTCTATCTATACTTCCCCAAGTTTCTCTCTTTCCCCAAATCTCTCTGTGTGTTTCCCCCAAGTTCCTCTCTGTACGTTCCCTAGGTCTCTCTCTATTTTCCCCAAGTCTCTCTCTCTTTACTTCCCCAAGTCTCTCTCTCTATTTCCCCCAAGTCTCTCTCTATTTTTCCCAAGTTTCTCTCTATTTCCCTCAAGTTTCTCTCACTCTCCATTTTTTCCAAGTCTTTTTCCCTATTTTCCCCGAGTCTCCCTCTCTCTCTATTTTCCCCAAGTCTGTCTATACTTCTCCAAGTTTCTCTCTTTCCCCAAATCTCAGCGTGTGTTTCCCCCAACTTGCTCTCTCTAAAGTTTCTTTATCATCGCTAGATCCCTCTCTCTTATTCCCTCAAATCTCTCTCTATTTCCCCTCAGCCTCTCTTTTTTCCCCAGGTCTCTCTCTATTTCCTCCAAGTCTCTCTCTTTTTCCCCCAAGTCTCTCTCTATTTCCCGAAAGTCTTTCTCTCTATTTTCCCCTAATCTCTCTCTCTCTCTCTCTCTCTTTCCCTCAAGTCTCCGTCTGTAGTTTCCCAAGTCTTTCTCTCTATTTCCCCCAAGTCGCTTTCTATTTCCCCTAACTCTCTCTCTGTCTCTCTCTAGTTCTCCCAAGTCTCTCTGTCTCTCTCTAGTTCCCCAAAAACTTTCTATTTCTCCAAAGTCTCTCTCTATTTCCCCTAAGTCTCTATCTCTATTTCTCCCAAATATCTTTCTCTATTTCCCTCAAAACTTTCTCTCTATTTCCGCTAAATCTCTCTCTATTTCCCCCAAGACTCTTTCTCTATTCCCCCTAAGTCTCTCTCTATCTCTCTCTCTATTTCACTCAAGTTTCTCTCTCTCTCTATTTTTCCCAAGTTTCTCTCGCTCTATTTCCCCCAAGTCTCTTTCTATTTTCCCCAAGTCTCTCTCTCTCTCTCTCTCTCCATTTTTCCTAAGTCTCTTTCCGTACTTTCTCCAAGTCTCCCTCTCTCTCTATATTCCCCAAGTCTCTCTCTTTATTTCCCCGAAGTCTCCCTCTATTTCCCCCAAGTCTATCTGTACTTCGCCAAGTTTCTCTCTTTCCCCAAATCTCTCTCTCTGTGTTTCCCCCAAGTTTCTCTCTCTTTTTTCCCCAGGTCTCTCTTTTTTTCCCAAGTTTCTCTCTCTTTCCATCAAGTCTCTCTCTCTATTTCCCCCAAATATCTTTCTCTATTTCCCCCAAAACTTTCTCTCTATTTCCCCTAAGTCTCTCTCTATTTCCCCTAAGTCTCTCTCTATTTCCCCCAAGTCTCTCTTTCTATTTCCCCCAAATCTTTCCCTCTATTTCCTCCAAGTTTCTTTCTCTATTTCCCCCAAGTCCTTCTCTCTATTTCCCCCAAATCTCTCCTTATACTTCCCCAAATTTCTCTCGCTCTCTTTCCCCAAGTGTCTCTGAGTGTGTTTCCGACAAATCTTTCTCTATTTTCCCCAAGTCCCTTTCCCTTTTTGCCCCAAGTCTTTTTCTTTCCCCCCAAGTCTCTGTTTCTCTTTCTGTGTGTGTATTTCCCGCAAGTCTTTCTCACTATTTTCTCCAAGTATCTCTATTTCTCCCAAGTCTCTCCCCATTCCCCCCAAATCTCCCTCAGTCTCTCTCTCTCTCTCTCTCTCTTTCCCCCGAGTCTCTCTCTCTCTATTTCCTCAGAGTCTCTCTTTCCATTTCACCCAAATCTCTTTCTCTCCATTTTCCCCAAATCTCTTTCTCTCTATTTCACCCAAGTCTCTCCCTCACTCTATTTTCTTCAAATCTCTATTTCCCCAGGTCTCTTTATTTCCCCCAAATCTCTCAATTGAAAAACAAGTCTCTCCCTGCGCTTCCCCAAGTTTCTCTCTTTCCCCAAATCTCTCTCTGTGTGTTTCCCCCAAGTTTCTCTCTATTTTCCCCAAGTTTCTCTCTCTATTTTCCCCAAGTCTCTCTCTCTCTATTTCCCCAAGTCTCGCTCCCTATTTTCCCCAAGTTTCTCTCGCTCTATTCCCCCAAGTCTCTCTCTATTTTCCGAAAGTCTTTCTCTCTCTCTTCATTTTTCCCTAGTCTATTTCCCTATTTTCTCCAAGTCTCCTTCTCTCTCTATTTTCCCGAAGTCTCTTTCTTTATTTCCCCGAATTCCCTCTCTATTTCCCCCAAGTCTATCTATACTTCCCCAAGTTTTTCTCTTTCCCCAAATCTCTCTGTGTTTCCCCCAAGTTGCTCTCTCTAAAGTCTCTTTACCATCGCTAGATTCCTCTCTTTTTTTCCCTTAAATCTCTCTCTATTTCCCCTCAGCCTCTCTTTTTTCCCCAGGTCTCTCTTTTCCCCCAAGTCTTTCTCTATTTCCTCCAAGTCTCTCTTTTTTTTCCCCAAGTCTCTCTTTATTTCCCGAAAGTCTTTCTCTCCATATCCCCCAAATTTCTCTCTATTTCCCCAAAGTTTCTCTCTCTATTTTACCCAAGACTTTTTCTCTATTTCCCCTAAGTCTCTCTCTATTTCCCCCAAGTTTCTCTCTCTCTCTAGTTCCCTCAAGTCTCTCTCTCTCTCTCTCTTTTCCCACAAGTCTCTCTCTCTCTCTCTCTATTTCCCCCAAATCTCTCTCTCTATTTCCCTCAAATCTCTCTCTATTTCCCCCAAATCTCTCTCTCTATTTCCCCCAAAACTTTCTATCTACTTCCCCTAAGTCTCTCTCTATTTCCCCCAAGTCTCTCTCTCTCTCTTTTCCCCAAGTTTCTCTCTTTATTTCCTCCAAAACCTTTTTTCTATTTCCCCAACTCTCTCTCTCTCTCTATTTTCCCCAAGTCTCTCTCTCTATTTCCCCCAAGTCTCTCTCTCTCTCTATTTCTCCCAAGTCTCTCTCTATTTTCCGCAAGTCTCTCTCTCTCTATTTCCCCCAAATCTCCCTCTCTATTTCCCCCAAATCTCTCTCTATTTCCCCCAAATCTCTCTCTCTATTTCCCCCAAAACTTTCTCTCTATTTCCCCCAAGTCTCTTTCTCTCTTTATTTCCCTCAAGTCTCTCTCTCTTTTCCCCAAGTCTCTCTCTCTATTTTCCCCAAGTCTCTCTCTTTCCCCCAAGTCTCTCTCTCTCTCTCTCTCTCTCTCTCTCTCTCTCTCTATTTCTCCCAAGTCTCTCTCTCTATTTCCCTCAAAACCTTTTCTCTATTTCCCCAACTCTCTCTCTCTCTATTTTCCCCAAGTCTCTCTTCTATTTCTCCCAAGTCTCTGTCTATTTTCCCCAAATCTCTTTATTTCCCCCAAATTTCCCTCTCTATTTCCCCCAAATCTCCCTCTATTTCCCCCAAATCTCTCTCTCTATTTCCCCCAAAACTTTCTCTCTATTTCCCCTAAGTCTCTCTATTTCCCCCAAGTCTCTTTCTCTCTCTATTTCCCTCAAGTCTCTCTCTCTCTTTTCCCCAAGTCTCTCTCTCTATTTTCCCCAAGTCTCTCTCTATTTCCCCCAAATCTCTCTCTATTTCTCCCAAATCTCTCTATTTCCCCCAGATCTCTCTCTCTCTATTTCCCTGAAAACTTTCTCTCTATTTGCCCTAAGTCTCTCTCTATTTCCCCCAAGTCTCTTTCTCTCTCTCTTTTCCCCAAGTCTCTCTCTCTATTTTCCCCAAGTCTCTCTCTATTTCCCCCAAGTTTCTCTCTTTCTCTACTTCTCCCAAGTCTCTCTCTATTTTCCGCAAGTCTCTCTCTATTTTCCGCAAGTCTTTTTCTCTATTTCCCCCAAATCTCTCTTTATTTCTCCCAAATCTCTATTTCCCCCAGATCTCTCTCTCTATTTCCCTGAAAACTTTCTCTCTATTTGCCCTAAGTCTCTCTCTATTTCCCCCAAGTCTCTCTCTCTCTCTCTATTTTCCCCAAGTCTATGTCGCTCTATGTCTCCCAAGTCTCTCTCCCTCTCTCTATTTTTTCCAACTCTGTATCTGTCTCTATTTTCCCCAAGTCTCTCTCTTTTTTCCGCAAGTCTTTCTCTTTATTTCCCCCAGGCTCCCTCTTTTTCCCCAAGTCTCTCTTTTTCCCTCAAGTCTCTCTCTTTTTCCCTCAAGTGTCTCTTTCTTTTTCCCCCAAGTCTCTCTCTCTATTTCCCCCAAGTCTCTCCCTCCATTTTCCCCAAGCCTCTCTCTCTCTCTCGTTTTCCTGAAATATCTGTCTACTTTCCCCAACGCTATTTCTCTATTTCCCAAAGTTTCTCTCTCTATTTCCCCTAATCTTTTTTTCAATTTCCACAAGTCTCTCTCTTTCTCCAAGTCTCTCTCTCTATTTCCCCAAGGTCTCTGTATTTTCCCAAGTCTTTCTTACTCTCTTCCAGATGTCCTTCTCTTTTTTCCCTCACTCTCTTTCTCCACATCTCTCTTCCACAAGACCCTTCTGCGTTTTTTCAAGTCACCTCTTTTTCAAATTTCTCTCTTTTTCCAAATCTAGTTCCCTTTTCCCTAGGTCTTTCTCTCTTTTTCCCCAAATCTTTTTCGATCTCTCCAAATCTTTACCCTCCCCTGGTTTCTCTGCCTCCACAGATATCTCTCCTCTATCTCTAAAAATTACTGCAGTTTTGGTTGCTCATATATCATGCTCTCTCTCTCTCTCTCTCTCAACTCAAGTCTTTCACTCTCTCCCTAGATCTCTTTCTCTATCTCACTCTCTCCCTCTATTGTTAAACTTACCGATAGATCTTCCGTTTTCAAAGCGTTATTCCAGATTTCTTCGACTTGGATCATCTCCTGTAAGCACTTGATCGCAGTGGCCCGAACGAAACTTTCACCATCGCACGTCGACATCTTCACCACAAGGGTCGGCAACTCCGAATCCATTAATACTTTTTGCAAGGACGGAAATTCTAAACGAAAAAAAACACCAAATTAATACCAACACGCAAAAAATATGTTACGGGCACGTTTGAGCTAAAATACACAGAAAGAGAAACAACAACGGGCCCAAGATGGAACCCTGCGGTACGCCTTTTTTTTTAAACAAACCGATAAAAATAAGACAATCTGTTATTGTCGGAGGCACATTTAGACTAAAATATATAGATATCGAAATAGTAGTGGGTCCAAAAAGAACCCTTGTGGTAAATTCTCTATATATGTTGTAACATGGGGAAATTCTAAAAAAAAAACCAAATTAACACCAACAGCTTGTTGGAAGCGCATTTAGAGTAAAAAATGTATATCGGAGTAGTAGCGGTCCCAAAAGGACCCTTGCGGTAAACGCCATTTCTTTTTTTTTGACTTACTGATGTACGCCATACGAGCTACCGTGCGAATGACCGCCAAGGCGACGTTCCGCACCTCGGCGACGTCGTCGCGGAGCTTGACGTAGAGCAGCGGCCCGAAGAGGTTGTGCGTGCTGTCGATCAGCAGCGTCAGGTTCGGCGCGACGCTCTTGGCGATCGTGACGTCGATCAGGCGCAGCACCTGCACGGTCACGTCGACCGGGCACCGCAGCATCGTCAAGAAGTCGAAGCTCGCGGGCAGGACGTAGATGATCTCGTAGATGTCGCACCACGTTATGCCGAAGTCGTCGACGAGCAAACACAGCAGCTCGAAGTTGCCCAAGAAGTAGTCGAACTGGTCGCCGAAGTTGGCGAGCGTCTCGGGGAACTTCTTCATCGTGCGCACGAAGTCCCTCAGGATGTAGACGATGGTCTGGAAGACCATGACGGCGGCGTCCTTGCAGAAGAGGTGGCGCGTGCGCTTCAGGCACCCGGTGGAGGCCACGGCGAGCTCGAAGAGCTCGGCGCGCTCCAGGAGGCCGTCCCGGCACTTGTAGCACGAGCGGATGGAGTCGTGCGACATCCGGCTGAGCATGCTGTCGACGTAGCCCTTGCGGTACTCGTCGAAGAGGTCGTCGATGTCCTCGTCGGCCTTGGGGAAGTACTTCATGCTGAGGGTGAAGTGCGGCGAGAGTAAGGGGATGATGAGGAAGACGGTGTGGTGGGGGAGCTTGGAGATTTTGGCGTCGACGAAGGTCCAGTAAATCTGGCCGAAATCGCACAGCTCGATGACGTGCTCGAAATTCCGACTACAAATACTCGATATGAACGTCGCCCTGATTTTATCAAGCGCAGAGTCAATATTAGCACTAGCACTCTTGTCATTGGCCTTGTACAACTCGAGCATCTGCAACGTATACACAACCTTGTTCTTTTCGAAATCGCACGACAACTCGGGGATGCTTTGACAATTTTCGTAAAAAAGCAGAGGAATGCGGAGGTCCAACCGGCGCAAAAAATTTTCCAACACTCCAGCCGATAACGCCACGGAACTTGACCCACAATCGGAAAAAACAGGTCCTATCAACCTCTTGATCACTCTGACGCAAAACTCCTCCCGGTCTATCGTCTTCTCCAAAAGTTTGGCTATGAAGTGGGCGCTTTCGTCGCAGTGGCTTTTGAAAACGTCCTCCCAGAAGTCGTACGCTACAATCCACTCCACCCCGGATTCGTGCTCCAAAAACCCCTCCAGCAACTCCAAGTAGCTCCTATCGTCCTCCCTCAAATCCAAAACCGCTATTAACTTCAAAAACAAGCTATCTTTGTTCAACTCGCAAAAAACCTCCTCGTTTTTCGACAACATGGTGGCTATGCGCACGGTAAAACAGACTATGGGGGCGCGGGGCTTCGCCCCCGTCACGCTCCATAAAGTCACCGCCTTCTTGATCCATTCCGTGAAAAGCGGTACTAGTACTAGGGCGGACTCGATCCCTACAAGTTCGAATTAGCGCATGACGAGAGTTTCACAAAACTGACCTTCGGTTTCTTGACGATGGAGCAACGAAGAGAATTTTTCGACGGCGACAGCGACGTTGTGCTCGCGATCTTGCGTAAAAAAATCGAGTAGACGTTGCATTTTTAACAAGTAAGGAACGACATTGGGTTTCATGTTGTCAGAGACACAATCGGGAGATAAATGAACTTATCTGGAGTGATTGCGATATAAAACCTCTATCTGTTTGCGGCTCGACACTATCTTTAAAAAACGCGAATTTGGCAAAATATAACTAGGGAGTTAGTAAATTGTTACGTTAGTACTGGTAGTACTTACTCTCGTTGGATAAGTACGCCACGGTGCAAACCACCTTCAAAGCGGCCGTCTTCACTTTCGCGCCGCTTTCTTCCAACTTTAGTTTCATAAAAGTACCCAACAAAGCCACAGTCGAGTCCTGAGTAATATCCACCAAGAGTACCAAACTCGGCAACATGTATTTTTTAACGGCGACGTTAACCACGGTTAGAACTTGAACCACGACATCTTCCGACCACTCGCACAACTCTAAGAACTCAAAACACACATTGACGACCTCCAGCGCCTCCACAGTATCCTTCCACGTGATTCTAATCTCCTGGATAAAAATCCCCAACAAGTCAAAAATTTTGCAAATGTAGTCTGCATCCTCTCGCACGACCTGGATCTTCTCACTTGACTCACTCAACCCCAGCGTTATATCCTTAGTCAAGTAGATGAGAGTCTGGAAGAACACCACAGCCTGGTGTCGCGACAGGTAGTACCGACACTCCTTCACCCTCAATAGACTGTTTTCGCAAAACTTGACCAAATCGGGAGACTCAATCAGACGATCCCTCCAAATAAAGTGCAACCGGGTCACGTCCCCCAACATCTTCATAACTTTAGCGACGAAGACATCCCGAACTTCGTCCGTCAGACACGCTTCTTCGATCTTCGACAACGTCAGACAATTCCGTAAGACGAAACCATAGTGCGAGATCAAAAACGTGGCCACTATTTGGTCCGAGAAAGAATTAGTTTCGGGGATCTTCGACTCGATTAGTCTCCAATACAGAAGACCGAACCTCGAAAACTCGATAACTTCGTCGAAGCTTTGCTTCGACAAGTTCGTCAGAAAGCTGCTTTTGATTTTCTTAAGCGAGACGTCGACGGTCGTCCTAGTGACACTCTTGCTTGTAATTTTGGCGTACAATTCCACGAACTGCATCGTCAAGCGGACTTTGCTCGAGTCAAAAACGTACGACTTTGACAACGCTCGATCTCCAATATCGTCGTCGAAGCGGTAGTACCCCAAAAACGCGAAAAGCGCGTCGAAGTCGCCCACGCCCGAAAACACTTCCTCTAGACACCGCTCCAACAGAAGCGAAAAAAATTTCGTGTGGTTTTCCAAAGGTAGTACCAGTTCTTTGACGATGTCGCTCTGGAAGCCGCTCTTGCGTAACAACTTCGCCATGAAACAAACGCACTGTGTTTGGTCGCCGCAAGCCAGCAACCCGAACACGCTCTTCCACAGCCCCAATTCGACCACGAAGTCAGTACCCGACTGGTGCTCCACCAACGCCAACAACACCCTAATTGACAACTCAGGCTTGGCCTGCCTCAAAACGCTGAACAAACTGACGAAAAAATTATCACTACGTTTCAAATCACGGAACTTTTCCTCGGTGCGCACCAACAAGAGGATTAAATCCACCACGAACACGACGAGATCGCGTGAAGGTACTCTGGCGGTACTCCACTTCGTGACGGCTTTTTTCACCCATTTGGTGACGAGTTTGGCGATTTTATGCTCTAGAAGGGTTAAGTTAAATTAGAGGTACGACAAGACGAAATAAAAACCTGTGGGGGTCCATTGCGCAATGTGTGTCAACAACTCGTCGAAGTCGTCTTTTTCGAATCGACACCGTTTCTTTAGTAGTTTTTTAAATAAGCGTTTCAACTTGTTTCGGCACCGGTTCACTTTTTCCATCACGAGGACGCGAAACTACGTAAGAGTTAGCGGTACGATCGGCGCGCGAGGCATGGTGGTACTGACGCTTAGGCAAATACGCGATAATAATTAATTGCGTCGAGTACTTACTGGTACTGGAGATGCGCGCGATGGTGCGAACGACGTCCAAAGAGGCCCTTTGGATATCGGGATGGTCATTGAGTAACTTGGAGTATAATAAAGGTCCTAGTAACGCTAAAGGTGAGTCTGGGGTGTCTTCCATCAGTAGTGCTAAATTAGGCGCCATATAATGGGCACTACCTGTGTTTATCAAGTTGATTATGGAAAGTACGACTTGTGATGACCACGAGGCTAAAGCCAGAAAGTCAAAACACAAAGGCAAGACGTACGTGGTTTCGACTGCGTCCTTAAGCCCGATTTGGAACGTCTGGGTGAGAGTACCCACAATTTCAAAAATTTGGTCGATGTTGGGGAATTTTGCAACCAATACGTCGACCTTCTCCGGACTTTCTTTGGCCGAATTGAGCAAATCTACCAAGAAGTAAACGAAACACTGGAAAAACGTCACGGCGTGGTCTCTACTCAAGTACTTCAGGCACTTTTCTAAAGCGAGAAAGCTGTGTTTACACATGGCGACGGTGTCAGTACCATCCGATATTTTCCGAGTCCAGAAATACATCACCCGTACGTAATCGTACGAAACCATTTCCCACACTTTCGTTTCAACAGCACTACGCAACTGATCGTGCGAAATGGCCTCTTCTATCTCTGTTAATTTAATCAGGTACTTCATAATAACGCACCCGAAAGGTATAGATAAAAGGAACATGAACTGTCCAGAAAACCTGGCCGTAATAGTGGGGACTTTCGACTCCATTAACTTCCAAAATAACATACTAAAGGGGCAAAAGTCCACTTGTTCGAGATACGTCCCTCTGACCATGTTCGCCATGAAGTTGCTCTGAATTCTAACCACCGAAGCACTAACTTTCGTCAGGGTGGTACCACCAGTGACAGTGTTCGCATACAACTCCAAGAACTGCATCACGAACATGATTTTGCTCAAGTCGAACAGCAGCCGCTTGTTTTGCGCTATGATCATAAAGTCGCAAATCCGCTCCTCTAGGTGGAAGTTCC